TCAGTTTCATTTGATAACAGTGGTTTCAGTTTCTGTATATAGCCATGTTATTACCTGGTACTCTCTGTATATAGCCATGTTATTACCTGGTACTCTCTGTATATAACCATGTTATTACCTGGTACTCCCTGTATACAGCCATGTTATTACCTGGTACTCCCTGTATATAGCCATGTTATTACCTGGTACTCCCTGTATATAGCCATGTTATTACTGGTACTCCCTGTATATAGCCATGTTATTACCTGGTACTCCTGTATAGCCATGTTATTAACCTGGTACTCTATGTATATAACAATGTATTACCTGGTACTCCCTGTATATAGCCATGTTATTACCTGGTACTCCTGTATATAGCCATGTTATTAACCTGGTACTCCCTGTATATAGCCATGTTATTACCTGGTACTCCCTGTATATAGCCATGTATTACCTGGTACTCCCTGTATATAACCATGTTATTACCTGGTACTCTCTGTATATAGCCATGTTATTACCTGGTAATCTCTGTATATAGCCATGTTATTACCTGGTACTCCCTGTATATACCATGTTATTTACCTGGTACTCTCTGTATATAGCCATGTTTATTACCTGGTAGTCCCTGTTATAGCCATGTTATTACCTGGTACTCCCTGTATATAGCCATGTTATTACTGGTACTCTCTGTATATAGCCATGTTATTACCTGGTAGTCCCTGTATATAGCCATGTTATTACCTGGTAACTCCCTGTATATAGCCATGTTATTACCTTGGGTACTCCCTGTATATAGCCATGTTATTACCTGGTACTCCCTGTATATAGCCATGTTATACCTGGTACTCCCTGTATATAGCCATGTATTACCTGGTACTCCTGTATATAGCCATGTTATTACCTGGTACTCTCTGTATATAGCCATGTTATTACCTGGTACTCTCTGTATATAGCCATGTTATTACTGGTACTCTCTGTATATAACCATGTTATTACCTGGTACTCCCTGTATATAACCATGTTATTACCTGGTACTCCCTGTATATAGCCATGTTATTAACCTGGTACTCTCTGTTAATAGCCATGTTATTACCTGGTAGTCCCTGTATATAGCCATGTTATTACCTGGTACTCCCTGTATATAGCCATGTTATTACCTGGTACTCCCTGTCATATAGCCATGTTATTACCTGGTACTCTCTGTATATAGCCATGTTATTACCTGGTAGTCCCTGTATATAGCCATGTTATTACCTGGTACTCCCTGTATATAGCCATGTTATTACCTGGTACTCTCTGTATATAGCCATGTTATTACCTGGTACTCAGTGGTCCCGTGTAGCTCAGTTGGTAGAGCATGGCGCTTGCAACGCCAGGGTTGTGGGTTCGTTTCCCACGGGGGGGGCCAGTATGAAAAATGTAAGCACTCACTTAACTGTAAGTCGCTCTGGATAAGAGCGTCTGCTAAAATGACTGAAATGTAAATGTAAAAATCAAAAAAATGCATTGCCATTAATTGGAGGGTTGGTTATCCTTCCCACAATGTCACAATGGATAACAGAAAATGTCAAGTCATGTATCACTAGATTAGATGTATTACAAGATGAAGGGTATACTGGGCAACTTTCACAAGGTCTGAATGCCTTCTGTGGAATACAGTAGGACAAAAGGAATCGGTATTGAAAACATGCCCACGTCAGGGGAGATAACTATTTAGGGAATCCCTAGCTGCCGGGCTGCTCAGTCCCGGCCCTGGGGGGGTCTGCTGGGCTGCTCAGTCCCGGCCCTGGGGGGGTCTGCTGGGCTGCTCAGTCCCGGCCCTGGGGGGGTCTGCTGGGCTGCTCAGTCCCGGCCCTGGGGGGGTCTGCTGGGCTGCTCAGTCCCGGCCCTGGGGGGGGTCTGCTGGGCTGCTCAGTCCCGGCCCTGGGGGGGTCTGCTGGGCTGCTCAGCCATGGCCTAACACACCCAAAACCAATAATGAATGTTTCACTAAAGATCCTAAAGCTGAGTGGGGTGTGTTGGGTTGGGGGGCGCTGCAGGGCGGTGGATCCCCTAGGGGGCTGCACGGAGCGACCCAGATATATTGTGTGCTAGTAAAGAGACCTCTACAGTCCTATTGGACCTCTGAGATTAATTATTAAATGCTTATTGTTTATCTTAATGTGAACCATTTCTGTGTGTTAACATGTCTGTGTAGTAGTATGTGTCTTTTGTGTGTGTTTTAAAAAAAACTTTTTTTTCCAAACCTTTCACTTGGGAATAAAAAATAAAATAAAATTTGTTTTGGGAGAGAGTTGAGGTATTGACTAGACTGGTGGGGGCCGGGGAGAGAGTTGAGTTATTGACTAGACTGGGGGGGGCCGGGGAGAGAGTTGAGGTATTGACTAGACTGGTGGGGGGGTCGGGGAGAGAGTTGAGGTATTGACTAGACTGGTGGGGGTCGGGGAGAGAGTTGAGGTATTGACTAGACTGGTGGGGGTCGGGGGAGAGAGTTGAGGTATTGACTAGACTGGTGGGGGGGGGGGGGTCGGGGAGAGAGTTGAGGTATTGACTAGACTGCTGGGGTCGGGGAGAGAGTTGAGGTATTGACTAGACTGGTGGGGGGTCGGGGAGAGAGTTGAGGTATTGACTAGACTGGTGGGGGGGGTCGGGGAGAGAGTTGAGGTATTGACTAGACTGGTGGGGGCCGGGGAGAGAGTTGAGGTATTGACTAGACTGGTGGGGGGGGGTCGGGGAGAGAGTTGAGGTATTGACTAGACTGGTGGGGGCCGGGGAGAAAGTTGAGGTATTAACTAGACTGGTGGGGGTCGGGGAGAGAGTTGAGGTATTGACTAGACTGGTGGGGGTCGGGGAGAGAGTTGAGGTATTGACTAGACTGGTGGGGGTCGGGGAGAGAGTTGAGGTATTGACTAGACTGCTGGGGTCGGGGAGAGAGTTGAGGTATTGACTACGTTAGGTTAGTAGCCAGCCTACCGTCATAGCGCCTGTAGCCAGCTCGTAGGCTAAAACCTCGCCTTGACATCGACCTTCCTCGCGGTTCCTGCGCTTGACTAGTAGGCTAAAACCTCGCCTTGACACCGACCTTCCTCGCGGTTCCTGCGCTTGACTAGTAGGCTAAAACCTCGCCTTGACACCGACCTTCCTCGCGGTTCCTGCGCTTGACTAGTAGGCTACTTCAATGAAAGTTCCAAAACCTAATGTAGCCGCCTAGGGAAAGTGAATCCTACAGAAAAATACATCAAGATAGATAGCCAAGCTGCAAGGTCTTCACTCTCCAAGCTTTTCACTTGGGACACGTTTGGGCAACCCTTTATTGCAAGGGTCCGTAATAAAGCATTTATACAGCATTTATAAAAGTGTGTGTTCACCATTTATTAAATCATTAACCCCGAATGTATCAACCATTTTACTAATTATTGGTATTTATAAAACTATTTAGTTAAAAGTATTTTTTTTTGCAGTCCCTAATCTAAAGTGAGTGTGATTTATACTTTATAAAATGTTTTAAGTGACCAGTGTAATTTCTCACAAAAGGGTGGGCCCTTGGTAGACGCTGCTGCACTTGTGCCTAGTAAAAGAATAAGCAACAACACAGGATGTTTAAGGAAATATACATTTGTGACTAGCTTTACTAACATGAACAGATGTAGGAATAAAGGTAATAAAAGGTGAGTAAACGGTTTGTAAATGCCTTTATAAAACGTTTTATTACAGACCCTTAATATACAATTATCCACAGGTGAAGCCCTTTTTTTAAAAGCAGAGGTGAAAAACAAGAAAATGGAGATCAACATTTTTGCTGAAAAGTTTTTTTTATTATCTTCAAAACAAGAGAAAAAAAAAAAAAAAATGTCCCTCCGGTATTCATTCAGCTGGTAGTTTAAATTAAACAGAGGTCATTGCAAAACTAAAAACCAAAACAGGAAACAGATAGATTTTTAATCTTCACAGTGCAACGCACGGAACCCTTCAATCCAACATGTCCCTTAAACACCCTCCAGTGGATCTCTACCCAGTCCAGCTCAACTAGCAACAATATTCACATACTGTCATAATTGTGTAAATATAATTAATTCCGGTACCATAAGACGTGGAACCAACTACTTTTACCACTTGGCTTGAACAAATTCCCAGATTCCTGAAATCAAGAAGGGGAATCCTCTCAACCGGGATTTCTGGGAAATCTGGTGAATTAGGGGAAATAGTTTAGCAACCCCTAGGCCCATTCCTACCACTAAGATGCTCTGGCCCAGCCTGCTAACAGCAGAGTAACATTCATCTCTATCTTGAAAGTACCTTTTCCTTCCTCCTAAACGTTTTCACTCAAGAATGCACATTCCGACGTGAAAGACGGTATTTCGCGCGCGTCCCTAACAGGGGGGTTCACTATTCTGTATATAGTCCACTACATCGGGAACTGGTTGCTATTTGGGACGCAGCCTAGGTTGTACAAACTCTTCAAAAGGACCTGGGGGGGAACAAATCAACGTTTTGCAATTAGTTCCTTTTTTAAGCACAAAAAAAAAAAGTTCCAACCATCACTCAAGCAAACCGACTCGTCCAAGCAGCAGCCCAAGTTACAACAGTCCAAAATTAATATTTCATACGTCAGCCTTAAAATGTATTTAAATGAATTTCAAATCCTCAGCAAAACCAGATAAAGTGTTGAACTAAAGTGAACATCTTGCAGCGCAGAGCGGTAAGTCCTCTTCCGATCATCACAAATGGCACCCTATCCCCTACATAGAGCCCTACATAGTGCCCTACACAGTGCCCTACATAGTGAATAGGATGGTATTTGGAATGCAGCCTGGGTGATCCCCTGAGACCTCACCTGACAGAGTCTAAGAAGGAAACCAATATCCTTCCTCCAAAATGGCTCCCTACTCCCTTATCTAGTGCACTACTTTTTTATCCAGAGCCTTAAGTAGTGTGTACTAGATAGGGAATAGGGTTTTGGGACACACACTTGGGCTGAAACACGTTGAACGCTTCACAATGAAACGTCTCATAAGGCTCCGCTAGCAATTCGGGCCTTCTTCTCTCCCCAGCTCCTCGTCCTCCTTCTCCTTCTTCTTCTTCTTCTTGTGTTTCAGTCCTGTGATCTCTCCCTCCTCAGCCTCCAGGCTCGCCTGTCTCTTCTGCTTTTTCTCCTTCTTCTTCTTCTTCCGTTTCTTCTTCTCCTTTTTCTCCTTCTTCTTCTTCTTGTCTTTCTTGTTGCCCAGGCTACCGCCAGAGCTGGAGCTGCTGCTACGACTTCTGCTGCTGCTGCCCCCAACCACCGCTCTCTGTCCCGACGCCGCTCTCTGTCCCGACGCCGCTCTCTCTCCCGACGCCGCTCTCTGTCCCGACGCCGCTCTCTCTCCCGACGCCTCTCTCTCTCCCGACGCCGCTCTCTGTCCGGACACTTTTTTCTCTCCCTCCTCCTCCTCCTCCTCCTCCCCCCTGTCCTCCCCCTCTGAGATCTCTCCCTCGCTGTAGTCAGGTTCGAAGGCCGCTTCATCAGTCTCTCTGGCCAGGTCAGGAGGAGGTCTGGAAGAAGGGACAGAGGGAGGAGATCTGGAAGAAAGGACAGAGAGAGGAGATCTGGAAGAAGGGACAGAGAGAGGAGATCTGGAAGAAGTGACAGAGGGAGGAGGTCTGACTTTAGGGTGCTCCCTCTCTCTCTCCTTCTGCACCCCTCTCTCCCTCTCCCTCTCCTTCTCCCTCTCCTTCTCTCTCATCCTTTGCATCTCCCCCTCTCTCTCCTTCTTTCTTTCTCTCTCTCTGACAGCTCGGGGTACCCCTGCCCTGTTGTCAGTCCTGGGGGGCTGTATGGGGGACTTTCCACCACTCATCTCCTTCTCTAGGGTGCCTAGGCTGGCCTGCTGGCTCTCCCTCCCCGTTGAGGAGCGCTCTGCTCTGGGTTCCTCTCCCTCAGCCTCCCCTCTCCTGGGCTGGTTCTCCATGGAGCTGGAGACTGGAAGAGAGGGGTATATGTCCTGCGTCGTGTCCCTGCCAGGGCTGCTCTCACTGGGCCTGGTGGGCTCAGACCCTCCCTGATCTCTCTGGGTGCTGGTGGAGGAGGAGGGGTCAGATGGGGGTGGGTCTCTCTTGGAGGGCGGAGAGGCACTGCCTAGCTTTCCGTGGTCTGGTTGTCTGCAGTCGGTGAGGTGGTCTCTGTGGTCTTTGTGTTTGGGGTTGTCTCTCTGCTCTCTGGTGGTCTCTTGGTCGTCTGGTGGTCTGCGGTCAGTAGAGTTTGTGTTACGGTCAACGGTGGAGGAGTTCTGGTCTTTGCTGTCTTTATGTTTGTGGTCGAGGTGGTCTCTCTGCCTGCGGTCAGTAGAGTTTGTGTTACGGTCAACGGTGGAGGAGTTCTGGTCTTTGCTGTCTTTACGTTTGTGGTGGAGGTGGTCTCTCTGTTTGTGGTCTCTGTGCTCTCTGGCTCTGGGGTCAGAGGTTGAGTTGTGGTCCCTGGAAGAAGAGGGTTTACGGTCGCGTGAGAAAGAGTGTGAGGAGGAAGAGGAGCTCTTTTCACTGCCGTGGTCGCTCCCTCTCCGCCAAGTCCTCTCTCGTTCTCTCTCTCTCCTCTCTCGCTCCGGCCGCTGAGAGGAAGGTCTGTCCATCTCTTTGTCAGAAGCGCGGCTGTGCTGCCTCTCTCTTTCTCTCTCTTTCCCCCTCTCTCTCTCCCACTCCTTTAACCGCTCCCTCTCTCCCTCCATCTCCTTTAACCGCTCCCTCTCTCTCTCCCGGTCCTTTAACCGCTCCCTCTCCCGCTCCTTTAACTGCTCCCTCTCTCTCTCCCGGTCCTTTAACCGCTCCCTCTCTCCCTCCATCTCCTTTAACCGCTCCCTCTCTCCCTCCATCGCTCTGTCTTTCTCAGTAGCTATGTGGTCTTTGGAGTGTTTTCCATCCTGCAGGCTGTCTTCTCCGTCTCTGCCACTAGAGGGGGACAGAGTTCTCTCTGGCTTGGGAAAGGTACGGTCCCTCTCTTTCGCTCGCCCTGCCGCGGTCTCTGTTGTCACGGTGATGTGGGGTCCAGGGGGGAAAGGGAGAGAGGGGTTGAGCAGGGGGCGGAGTTGAACCCTGACCCCTCCTCCTTCCTCTTCCTCTGATTCATAGTCCTCCTTCTCCCACTTGGACCGAGGGACCTGCAGGAGGAGAGAATGGAAGATCTGCTCAGCTTGATATTTTTCAGGGTGTGTGTGACATTTGGTCAACCGTCAGACCTGTACGAGTACTATCTGGTCTAACAGGTGTAGAGCTGTGTCTGACCTGTATGAGTACTATCTGGTCTAACAGGTGTAGAGCTGTGTGTGTCCTGAACCTGTATGAGTACATCTGGTCTAACAGGTTAGAGCTGTGTGTGTCTGACCTGTATGAGTACTATCTGGTCTAAAGGTGTAGATCTGTGTCTGACCTGTATTGAGTACGATCTGGTCTAAACAGGTGTAGAGCTGTGTGGTCTGACCTGTATGAGTACTATCTGGTCTAAAAGGTGTAGAGCGTGTGTCTGACCTGTAAATGAGTACTATCTGGTCTAACATGTTGTAGAGCTGTGTGTCTGACCTGTATGATGTACTACTGGTCTAAGCAGGTGTAAGAAGCTGTGGTGGTCCGACCTGTAACGAGTACTATCTGGTCTAACAGGTGTAGAGCTGGTGTGTCTGACCTGTATGAGTACTATCTGGTCTAACAGGTGTAGAGCTGTGTGTCTGACCTGTATGAGTACTATCTGGTCTAACAGGTGTAGAGCTGTGTGTGTCTGACCTGTATGAGTACTATCTGGTCTAACAGGTGTAGAGCTGTGTGTGTCTGACCTGTAACGAGCTGAACTATCTGGTTCTAACAGGTGTAAGGAGCTGTGGTGTGTTTGACCTGTATGAGTACCATCTGGCTAACAGGTGTAGAGCTGTGGTGTGTCGGGCCCGTTTTGGTACTATTGGTCTAAAAAGGTGAGAGCTGTGTGTGTCTGACCTGTAGAGTAATATTTGGGCTAACATTTTGTGAGCTTTTTGGTCTTACCTGTATGAGTACTATCTGGGGTTTAAAAGGTTTTAGAATGTTTTTTCTGACCTTTTTGAGTAAATATTCCCGGTTTTAACAGGTGTTGAAGCTTTTGGGCTGCCGTTGGTACTAAACTGGTTTTTAAACCGGGGTTTTGAAACTTTTTGTCTACCTGTATTAGGGACTATCTGGTTAACAGGTGTGAAAACTTTTTGGGCTGCCCCGTAAGAGTACTATCTGGTCCCAAAAGGGTGTAAGCTTTTTGTCTGGGCCTGTACATACCTTTTGGGGCTAAAAGGTGTGAGCTTTTGGGGCTGACCTGTAAGGTACTATCTGGTTTTAACAGGGGTTTAAAACGTTGTCCTGGAAAATGTAAAGATATCTATTTTTTTCTAAAAGGTTTTGGGAGAGCTTTTGGGGTCTTACCGTAAAGAAATTTCTATCGGTCTAAAAGGTGTAGAGCTGTGGTGTTGGGTTTTTTGACCTGGGGAAAGAGTACTAATTGGGCTAACATGTGTAGAGCTGTGTTTCCGACCCTTTTTGATTTCTATCTGGTCTAAAAGGGGTGAGTGTTTGTTTTCCCGACCTTTATGAGTATATTGGTCCAAAAAGGGTTTAGAGCTTTTGTGTTGACCTGTATGATAAATATCTGGTCTAAAAGGTGTAGAGCTGTTTTCTGCCCTGATGAGTACTATCTGGTTTTTAAAAAAGGTTTTAGAGCTGGTTTTTCTGACCTGTAAAGGTCTATCTGGTCCAACAGGTGTAGAGCTGTTGTCTGACCTTAGAGTTTTAAACTGGTCTAACAGGTGTAAAAGCTGTTGCTGACCTTAGGTACTATCTGGTTCCCAAAAGGGGTAGAGCTTTGTTGTTTTGACCTGTTAGGAGTACATCTGGTTTTAAAAAGGGGTTTTAAACTTTTGGGTTGACCTGTAGAGTTTCTATCTGGTTCCCAAAGGTGTAGAGGGGTGGGGTGTCCCGGGCCTGTATGAAATACTATCTGGTCCCAACAGGGGGTAGAGCTTGGTCGGGCCCGTTGGTACTATCGGGCTAAAAGGGGTGAGCTTTGTCGAACCCGTTTTTAAATACTATCCCCGGGGCTAACATTGAGGGGGGTTTACTGGGTTTTTTGGGGTTCCCCCCCCCATTTTTTTAAAAAAAAAACCTTTTGAGTATATCATCCCGGTCTAACAGGTGGTGACTGTTTTTCCCCTTTTTTTCCTATATTAGTACATCTGGTCTAAAAGTGAACGTGTGTCTGGGCCTGTATGAGGGAATACTGGGTTAAAAAAGGGTGTAGAGCTTTGTCGACCTTTGAGTACTTTTTGGGCTAACAGGGGTAGGTGGGGGTTTAAACCGGGATGATACATCTGGGCCAACCGGTGTAGAGCTGGTTGTCTTCCCCGTAGAGAATCTTGGTTTTACCCGGTGTAGGCGGGGAAAAGTTCCGACCCGTTTTGGTATATCTGGGGCCCCAAAAAGGGGGAGAGCTGTGTGGTCGGGCCTGTATGAGTACTATCTTTTCTAACAGGTTTTAGAGCTTGGGGTGTCTGACCTGTATGAGTACTATTTTGGTTCAAAAAGTTTTTAGAGCGTTGGGGGTCTACCTGTATAGTACATCTGGTTTTAAAAGGTGTTTGAGCTTTTGTGTCTGACCTGTATGAGTTTCTTGGTCTAACGGTGTAAGTTTTTGTCTACCTTTAGAGTAATCGGTTTTAACAGGGGTAGATTGTGTGTCTACCTGTATGGTACTATTTCTAACAGGTTTAGAAACCTTTTTGGTGGGCCCGACCGGGATGAGTACATTGGGGCAAAAGGTTGGGGAAACTTGGGGTGTTTTGACCTTATGAGTACTATCTGGTTTTAACAGGTGTTTTGAGCGTGTGTGTCCCGACCGTATAGTAATTTTCTGGTCTAACAGGTGTAGAGCTGTGTTTTTGACCTTTTAAATATTCTGGGCTAACAGGTTGTAAAAGCTGTGTGTTTTTCTGACCTGGGATGAGTACTATCTGGTCTAAAAGTTTTTAGAGTGTTTTTGTCCCGACCTTATGAGTATACTGGTCTAAAAGGTGTTGAGCTGGTTTTGTCCGGACCTTTTTTACAAAAAAAATTAGTACTATCTGGTCTAACAGGTGGAAAAAGGGTTTGTGTTCTGACCTGTATGAGTAATATCTGGGCCCAAAAAGGGGTGAGCTTTTGTGTCGGGCCCTTTTGGGTACTATCGGTCTAACAGGTGTAGAGCTGTTTCTGACCTGTATGAGTCTATTGGTCTAAAAAGGTTTTTAGAAGCTGTTGGGGGCCCGACCTTTAGAGTACTATCTGGTCTAAAAACAGGTGAGAAAATGTGTGTTTTGACCTGTAGAGACATCCGGTTTTAAAAGGTTTTGAGCTGGGGGGGGGGGGGGGGGGGGGGGGGGGGGGGGGGGGGGGGGGGGGGGGGGGGGGGGGGGGGGGGGGGGGGGGGGGGGGGGGGGGGGGGGGGGGGGGGGGGGGGGGGGGGGGGGGGGGGGGGGGGGGGGGGGGGGGGGGGGGGGGGGGGGGGGGGGGGGGGGGGGGGGGGGGGGGGGGGGGGGGGGGGGGGGGGGGGGGGGGGGGGGGGGGGGGGGGGGGGGGGGGGGGGGGGGGGGGGGGGGGGGGGGGGGGGGGGGGGGGGGGGGGGGGGGGGGGGGGGGGGGGGGGGGGGGGGGGGGGGGGGGGGGGGGGGGGGGGGGGGGGGGGGGGGGGGGGGGGGGGGGGGGGGGGGGGGGGGGGGGGGGGGGGGGGGGGGGGGGGGGGGGGGGGGGGGGGGGGGGGGGGGGGGGGGGGGGGGGGGGGGGGGGGGGGGGGGGGGGGGGGGGGGGGGGGGGGGGGGGGGGGGGGGGGGGGGGGGGGGGGGGGGGGGGGGGGGGGGGGGGGGGGGGGGGGGGGGGGGGGGGGGGGGGGGGGGGGGGGGGGGGGGGGGGGGGGGGGGGGGGGGGGGGGGGGGGGGGGGGGGGGGGGGGGGGGGGGGGGGGGGGGGGGGGGGGGGGGGGGGGGGGGGGGGGGGGGGGGGGGGGGGGGGGGGGGGGGGGGGGGGGGGGGGGGGGGGGGGGGGGGGGGGGGTTTTTTTTTTTTTTTTTTTTTTTTTTTTTTTTTTTTTTTTTTTTTTTTTTTTTTTTTTTTTTTTTTTTTTTTTTTTTTTTTTTTTTTTTTTTTTTTTTTTTTTTTTTTTTTTTTTTTTTTTTTTTTTTTTTTTTTTTTTTTTTTTTTTTTTTTTTTTTTTTTTTTTTTTTTTTTTTTTTTTTTTTTTTTTTTTTTTTTTTTTTTTTTTTTTTTTTTTTTTTTTTTTTTTTTTTTTTTTTTTTTTTTTTTTTTTTTTTTTTTTTTTTTTTTTTTTTTTTTTTTTTTTTTTTTTTTTTTTTTTTTTTTTTTTTTTTTTTTTTTTTTTTTTTTTTTTTTTTTTTTTTTTTTTTTTTTTTTTTTTTTTTTTTTTTTTTTTTTTTTTTTTTTTTTTTTTTTTTTTTTTTTTTTTTTTTTTTTTTTTTTTTTTTTTTTTTTTTTTTTTTTTTTTTTTTTTTTTTTTTTTTTTTTTTTTTTTTTTTTTTTTTTTTTTTTTTTTTTTTTTTTTTTTTTTTTTTTTTTTTTTTTTTTTTTTTTTTTTTTTTTTTTTTTTTTTTTTTTTTTTTTTTTTTTTTTTTTTTTTTTTTTTTTTTTTTTTTTTTTTTTTTTTTTTTTTTTTTTTTTTTTTTTTTTTTTTTTTTTTTTTTTTTTTTTTTTTTTTTTTTTTTTTTTTTTTTTTTTTTTTTTTTTTTTTTTTTTTTTTTTTTTTTTTTTTTTTTTTTTTTTTTTTTTTTTTTTTTTTTTTTAAATTTTAAATGTGTGTTTTGATTTTACTATTGGGAAAGGGGTAGGTGTGGTGGTGACCTTTTAAAGTAATTGGGGGCCCCGGGGGTTAGGTTGGGGGTTGTGTTGACCTGTAAGTAATTGGTTAAAGGGGTAGAGCTGGTTTGGGCCCCGGGTTTCTTTTTTGGGAACGGTTTTTGGGTTTTTGGTATTTAAACTGGTCAAAGGTTTGGGTTGTGTCTGCTGTATGATAATTATTTCCTGGTTGGGGTGTGTGGGGCTTTGGCAAAGGTGGTTTTAACTGTGTTTCTGACCCGTTTAAAACTTTGTTAAAAAAAGGGTTTTTGCTCCGTAAAGACTTTGCTACGGGGTTTTTTTGGTCCGTTTAGACTTTGGTCAATGTAGAGCTGGTTTAACCGTTGAAAAGGTTAAAAGGGGTTTAGCTTTGTCTACCCGTTGGTAATTTGGTCTAAAATTTTAGAGTTTGGCCTGAAGTTGATAGAAGGTTAAAAGTTTAGAGCGTTGTTGACCTGTAGGAAATTGGTTTAACAGGTGTAGACTTTTGTCGACCTGTAAGGCATTGGTCTAAAAGGTGTAGGGGTTTTGTTTTTTAAAATTTTTTGGGGGGGGTGTGACCCCGGGTTTTGTTCCCTTTTAGTTTTGGTTTTAAAAGGTTAGAGTGGTTGGGCTGACCTGTTAATTTTCTGGCTAACGGGGAGAGCTGTGTGTTACCATGAGTTAAACTGGGGTGTGAGCTGTGTGGTCTAACCTGGATTTTGGCTAAAAAGGTGTGAGCTTTTTCGACCCGTAAAGAGTACTATTGGTTTAACGGGGGAGGCTGTGTTTACCCGTTGAGAATTTTGGGCAAGGTGGGGGTTTTTTGAACTGTTGTTTTTGGTCTGGTAATTTTTTTCGCTGTTGATATTTTTAAAAGGGAGAGGGGTTGTCTGACTTATGATTAATTTTAAAAAGGGTAGGTGGTGTCTGACCGTAGAGTACTTTCTTTCCTTTTAAAAGGTGGCTGTGTTTTCCCCAAGGTAACTGGGTTTACGGGGTTTTTTGTTTAAAGGGCTGGGGTTTTGGGTCTACGGTTAATTTTTTTCCCCGGGCCCCTTTCCCGGGGGGGGGTTCGCCCTTTTGGTTTTCTGGTTAAAGGTAGGTGTTTGCGCCATGAGTACTTCTGGGGGCCGGTTTGGCTTGTGTTTCGCCTTTTTGGGCTACGGTTCCCGGTGTGTGGGTCGACCTGTTTCTACGGTTTAAAGTGGGGGTTGGGGGTTTATGGTTCAAAAGGGGGGAGGTGTTTCCTGTGAGTACTATCGGTCTAAAAGTTGTAGAGGTGTGCCCACTTTAAAAACTGGTTTAAAAGGTTTAAAAAGGGGGGGGTTTTTCCCGAGGCCCCTTTGGTTCCTTTGGGTGGGTTCGACCTTTTGGGCAGCCCCCGGTGGGTTTTTGGGCCCCCGGTTTTACTGGTTAACAGGTGTAGAGCTTGGCCCCCCCGTTTTAATAAATTTGTTAAAAAGGGGGTTGGGTTTGACCCGTTGAGTATATTGGGCTAAAAGGTGAGAGTTGGGTTACCGTAGTACTTTCCCAACAGGTTTTTTGGTGGGGAACCTGTATGGTATATCTGTAAAAGGGGGGGGGTGTTGCCGTTGGGTTTTTTCCGGGGGGAAGGGGGACCTTTGGTTTCTTTCTAAAAATTTTTTTTAAAAGGGGGTTTGCAGTTTAGAATTGGTGGGGGAACTGTTGGCTTTTTTACCTTGTAAAAGGGGGGGGCCTGTTGGGGTTTTTTTTTGAAAGTTTGGGTTTTTGCTAAAGGTTTTTTTGGGGCTGGGGACCTTTGAGTATACTGGGCAACAGGTGTAGAGGTGTGGTCTGGGCCTGTATGAAACTACTGGTCTAAAGGGGTAGAGCTGTGTTTTTCGACCTGATGAGTACTATCTGGTTAAAAGGAGAGTGTTTTTCTGACCCGTAAGTACATCTGGTTAAAGGTGTAGGGGTTTTTTTGGTTTTTTTTTTAAAAGGCTGGTTGACTTTGGCTTTAAAAGACTATTGGTCTAAAAGGTGTAGAGCTTGTGTGTCGACTGTTGAACTCTGGGTCTTAACGGGTTTTGAGTGTGTTTGTCGACTGTATGAGTACTATCTGGGTTCTAACAGGTGTAGAGCTGTTGTGTCTGACCTGTAGGCGTACTATCTGGTTAACAGGTTGTAGAGCTGGTGTGTCGACTGTATGAGTACTATCTGGCTAACAGGTTGTAGAGCTGTGTGTCTGACCTGTATGAGTACTATCTGGTCTAACAGGTGTAGAGCTGTGTGTGTCTGACCTGTATGAGTACTATCTGGTCTAACAGGTGTAGAGCTGTGTGTGTCTGACCTGTATGAGTACTATCTGGTCTAACAGGTGTAGAGCTGTGTGTGTCTGACCTGTATGAGTACTATCTGGTCTAACAGGTGTAGAGCTGTGTGTGTCTGACCTGTATGAGTACTATCTGGTCTAACAGGTGTAGAGCTGTGTGTTCTGAACCTGTATGAGTACTATCTGGTCTACAGGTGTAGAGTGTGTGTTCTGACCTGATGAGTACTATCTGGTCTAACAGGTGTAGAGCTGTGTGTGTCTGACCTGTATGAGTACTATCTGGTCTAACAGGTGTAGAGCTGTGTGTCTGACCTGTATGAGTACTATCTGGTCTAACAGGTGTAGAGCTGTGTGTGTCTGACCTGTATGAGTACTATCTGGTCTAACAGGTGTAGAGCTGTGTGTGTCTTGACCTGTATGAGTTATTTTACAGGTTGGGGGAGAGCTGTGGTTTTCTGACCGTATGAGTACTATCTGGTCTAACAGGGGTGAGGTTTTTGTTTACCCGTTTAGTACTATCTGGTCTAACAGGTGTAGATGTGTTAACCTGTAGAGTACTATTGGTCTAAAGGGTGGAGCTGATGGGGACCGTATGAGACATTGGTCTAACGGTGAATTGTGTTGTTAAGTAGTATACTGGTTCTAAAAGGGTAGAGCTTGTGTGTCACCTGTATGAGTACTATCTGGTCTAACAGGTGTAGAGCTGTGTGTGTCTGACCTGTATGAGTACTATCTGGTCTAACAGGTGTAGAGCTGTGTGTCTGACCTGTATGAGTACTATCTGGTCTAACAGGTGTAGAGCTGTGTGTCTGACCTGTATGAGTACTATCTGGTCTAACAGGTGTAGAGCTGGTGTGTCTGACCTGTATGAGTACTATCTGGTCTAACAGGTGTAGAGCTGTGTTGTCTGACCTGTACGAGTACTATCTGGTCTAACAGGTGTAGAGCTGTGTCTGACCTGTATGAGTACTATCTGGTCTAACAGGTGTAGAGCTGTGTGTCTGACCTGTATGAGTACTATCTGGTCTAACAGGTGTAGAGCTGTGTGTCTCTGACCTGTACGAGTACTATCTGGTCGTCAGCAGGTGCGGAGCTGTCGTTGGTGTATTCCTCCAGCGTTTTAACGACAGTCTTCCTGTGCTCTGCTCTGCCCTCTGCTCCACCACACACAGGACTACTGCCCCCTGGGGGACTGGTGCTGCTTTACACAACACATACAGTATTTCAGAGTAGGACTTTATCACGTGTTATGACTTAACATTGACACTCTTATCCAGAGAGACTTCCATTCATTCCACTTAAGGTAGACAGTCATTATTATTAGAGACACACCGCTGTTATTAGATGGCACGGTCAGTTCCCCAGACAGCCAGTCTCACCTGGTGTAATCCACTACGGCTCCTGATCCGTCGGGCGCCAGGCCCTTACAGCCCCTCTTGGCTCTGCTCCTCTCCACGCTTCCCTTCATATAGCCGCTCTGATTGGCTGCCTCTGTTCCGGCCACGCCCACAACCACACCAGCCCCAGCCAGCCTCCCTCCTCCTCTCCTCCTCCTCTGTTGTTGTTCTTGGTCTTCCTCTGAGGCTCTCCCTCCATCAGAGGCCTTATGGAACCCCTCTCCATCTCCTTCTCTACGTCACGTTTGGGGTTGCAGGGTTTTGGGGTCTCGGTGAGCTCCACTCTGGGAGATTTGATTTGGGGCACCTCCATCTCCTTATCAGACGTACTCCTCTCCTCCTTTCTCGCCTTCCTCTCCTCCTCCTCCTCCTCCTTCCCCCTCCTCCTCCTCTTCTTCTCAGGCTTGGTGTCTGGAGCTTTGCCAGGGGCTCTCTCCTGTTCTCTACCCAGCCTGTCAGCCTCTCTCCTGGGCTTGTCCTCTCTCCCTGAGCCCCTGTCCTGCCGAACCTCTGGATCTCGCTTCCCTCTCTGCTCCTCCTTGGCTGGTCTGGAATGGTCCAGGTCGGTTCTGAACGGTTTCAACTGGTCCGGGTCAGTTCTAACCGGTTTAAACTGGTCTGGGTCGGTTTTAACTGTATTGAATTGGTCTGGGTTGGTTCTGACAGGTTTAAACTGGTTTGGGTCAGTTCTAACCGGTTTGAATGGGTCTGGGTCGATTCTAACCGGCTTGACCTGGTCTGGGTCGGGTTTAGGAGGTGGTAGTTTGGGAGCTGATGTTAGGGGTGCAGGGGGTTGGGGGGGAGGTGGGTTTGGAAGAGTCTGGTTGGAGGGGAGTAAATTCATCTTTGACCCGTTTGACTGACGGTTCTGTTAGAGAGGTCTCCTGGTAGTCTGTACCAGCTGGGGTGGTCTTGCCCCGGTCTGTACCGGCTGGGGTGGTCTTGCCCCGGTCTGTCCCGACTGGGGTGGTCTTGTCCCGGTCTGTACCGGCTGGGGTGGTCTTGTCCCGGTCTGTACCGGCTGGGGTGGTCTTGCCCCGGTCTGTACCGGCTGGGGTGGTCTTGCCCCGGTCTGTACCGGCTGGGGTAGTCTTGTCCCGGTCTGTACCGGCTTGGGTGGTCTTGTCCCGGTCTGTTCCGGCTGGGGTGATCTTGTCCCGGTCTCTACTGGCTGGGGTGATCTTGTCCCGGTCTCTACTGGCTGGGGTGATCTTGTCCCGGTCTCTACTGGCTGGGGTGATCTTTTCCCGGTCTGTCCCAGTCTCGTCCCGGTCTGTCTCTGCGTCTCGCTCTCTGGCGGTCTTCCAGCTCTTGGACGGTGAGTCTTTCCTAGCTGTGCTGAAGTCCGGTCTGCGTTTGGACCCTCCTCTTCTCCCCTCTACCTCCCCCTTACTGTCCCCGGTCCACCTATCAGCTTTGTCCGGGACTACGTCTGAGGCGTCGCTGTCCATTGGCTCGTCCCGTACGGGGGTGGAGTCATCGTGGCTTGACGAGCCAACGGGAGTCCTCCTGGTTCTCTTCTTCTCTTCTTTCCGAGCGTCGTCCGTAGAGTCAGACGCACTGGAGTACGAGGACTCTCCTCCCCCTCTCCCCTCCTCAGTCTTCCTCCTCTTCCTCTTCCTGTGCTTCTGCTCTTTCAGGTCGGAGGTCACAGTGACCGTGGCACCGGCGATGCTCGACGACGGACCTCCGTCACCCTTAGCGACCTTCAGTGGCATCTGAGGATCCTGATTGGCTGGCCGGGCCAGCGGCAGATGTCCAAACTGCTCAGCACACTTCTCCTGGTAAGTCATTGGCTGGTTCCTGCCCCTGGGGGAGGGGTGTGAGGGGGGAGGGGGATAGTCCTCACCTCGCCTCCTCCCTCGGCTGAAGGGGGAGGATTCACGGTCCAGGCGGTGTCGAGGGGAGGGGTAGAAGTCAGAGGGGGGAGGAGGGCTGTGGGGGTCTCTGTTTCGTCCGGCTGGGGGTGGCACAGGGGCAGGGGTGGAGCTAAGCGCCGATCGGCCCCTGTAGGGAGGGGGGGTATTGGGAAGGGGGTTGTGGGAGCTGTAGTTTTTGAAGTATTTCTCGTACCACTCCCTGTATTCCCTCTCCCACTCCCGGTACCTCTCCCTCTCGTACGGGTCGTTGTGGTCTGGGCCTCGGCCGTACACCGCCGGCTCCCTCTCCCGATCCCTCTCCTCCGGTCCGGCCCGGGTATTTCCTCTCTCCCTCAGGCGGCGGCCCAGCAGCGGCAGGCTTCCTGGAGCTTGGGGGTGGAGGTGTGTGGGTCCGGTAACCCCCTTGGCCTGGTGATCTGGAGCGTGACCGGTACCCCCCTCCTCGTCCCCGTCCTCTCCCCCGTCCCGCCACATCTCGGCCCCGGTAAGGCGGTGGCGAGCGTGATCGGCGGTAGCCGCGGGAACGGGAGCGGGAGCGGTAGCCGCGAGGTCGTCCGTGGCGGCGGGAGTAAGGGGAGGAGCGGGAGTAAGACCTGGAACGGGATCTGGAACGGGATCTGGAACGACTGGAGGAACGGGAGTATGAACGAGAACGGGAACGGGATTTGGAGTAGGAAGAGCTACTGTAGGACGACCTAGACCTGGGGAGAGAGAGAAAGGACAGAGGGAGAGAGAGAGAAATGGGCAGATGGAGAGGGAGAGAGATGGACGAAATGGAGAGGGAGAGAGAGAGAAATGGACAGATGGAGAGGGAGAGAGAGAGAAATGGACAGATGGAGAGGGAGAGAGAAATGGACAGATGGAGAGGAGAGAGAGAGAAATGGACAGATGGAGAGGGAGAGAGAGAAATGGACAGATGGTGAGGGAGAGGAGAAAGGACAGGGAGAGGGATGGAAGAGGGAGAGAGAGAAAGGACAGATGGAGAGGGAGAAAGGATGGACAATGGAGAGGGAGAGAGAGAAAGGACAGATGGAGAGGGAGAAAGAGAAGGACAGATGGAGAGGAGAGAGAGAAGACAGATGGAAGAGAAGGACAGATGGAGAGGGAGAGGGAGAAAGGACAGATGGAGAGGGAGAAAGAAAGGGACAGATGGAGAGGGAGAGAGAGAAATGGACAGATGGAGAGGGAGAGGGAGAAAGGACAGCTTGAAGAGGGAGAGAGGAAGGAAAGAGAGAGGAGAGAGAAAGGACAGATGGAGAGGGAGAGAGAGAAAGGGACAGATGGAGAGGGAGAGAGAGAAAGGACAGATGGAGAGGGAGGAGAGAAAGGACAGATGGAGAGGGAGAGAGAGAAAGGACAGATGGAGAGGGAGAGAGAGAAAGGACAGATGGAGAGGGAGAGAGAGAAAGAGAGAGGGAAAGATTAAGTGTAAGCAGTATACAATAATATTATGTGAGTATAGAATACTATTATGTGAGTATAGAATACTATTATATGAGTGTTGTATTACAGTTATGAGTATTATGTGAATATTGTATGAGTATTATACCTGGAGTAAGGGCGTCTCCTCTCCTTCTGGATCTTTCTGTATTGTATGAGTATTGAGTATTATACCTGGAGTAAGGGCGTTGTCTCTCCTTCTGGATCTTTCTGTATTGTATGAGTATTGAGTATTATACCTGGAGTAAGGGCGTCTCCTCTCCTTCTGGATCTTTCTGTATTGTATGAGTATTGAGTATTATACCTGGAGTAAGGGCGTTGTCTCTCCTTCTGGATCTTTCTGTATTGTATGAGTATTGAGTATTATACCTGGAGTAAGGGCGTTGTCTCTCCTTCTGGATCTTTCTGTATTGTATGAGTATTATACCTGGAGTAAGAGCGCCTCCTCTCCTTCTGGATCTTTCTGTATTGTATGAGTATTGAGTATTATACCTGGAGTAAGGGCGTTGTCTCTCCTTCTGGATCTTTCTGTATTGTATGAGTATTATACCTGGAGTAAGAGCGCCTCCTCTCCTTCTGGATCTTTCTGTATTGTATGAGTATTGAGTATTATACCTGGAGTAAGGGCGTTGTCTCTCCTTCTGGATCTTTCTGTATTGTATGAGTATTGAGTATTATACCTGGAGTAAGAGCGCCTCCTCTCCTTCTGGATCTTTCTGTATTGTATGAGTATTGAGTATTATACCTGGAGTAAGGGCGTCTCCTCTCCTTCTGGATCTTTCTGTATTGTATGAGTATTGAGTATTATACCTGGAGTAAGGGCGTTGTCTCTCCTTCTGGATCTTTCTGTATTGTATGAGTATTATACCTGGAGTAAGAGCGCCTCCTCTCCTTCTGGATCTTTCTGTATTGTATGAGTATTGAGTATTATACCTGGAGTAAGGGCGTTGTCTCTCCTTCTGGATCTTTCTGTATTGTATGAGTATTGAGTATTATACCTGGAGTAAGGGCGTTGTCTCTCCTTCTGGATCTTTCTGTATTGTATGAGTATTGAGTATTATACCTGGAGTAAGGGCGTTGTCTCTCCTTCTGGATCTTTCTGTATTGTATGAGTATTGAATATTATACCTGGAGTAAGAGCGTCTCCTCTCCTTCTGGATCTTTCTGTACTCCAGCAGCTCCTTGGCAAAGTCGTTCGTGAACTCATCCAGCTTGGACTTTTCCCGGTTACCATAGCGACAGTGGGAGCTGGGGGAGGACAGGAGGCGAGAGGGACGATATTTTTGATAACAGTATGAAGAGTGAGGCAGGAGGAGAGAGAAGAAAACACTGCTCAGTTTAACGAGCGGGGTCAACGTCTCCCGTCACAGTTAAAATAATAAACTAGAGCGATTGAAAGAGAAGTAGTTCTGTGAACCACACTTTGGCCTGAGACTTTAGTCGCTCACACAATACATGTTAGCGGAGGAGAATGTCAGAACACACAGGCGGCAAACTCATTCCATTGACGGGGCAGAGTGTTGAGTTTTCACTCCTACCTTGTACTTGATTGATCAATTAAATGTCATTGATTGGTTAGGAATCAGAACAGAGGAAGACTACCTACTCAACAGTAAGAATGACAGTCAGTCCATCGGAACAGAGGAAGACTACCTACTCAACAGTAAGAATGACAGTCAGTCCATCAGAACAGAGGAAGACTACCTACTCCACAGTAAGAATGACAGTCAGTCCATCAGAACAGAGGAAGACTACCTACTCCACAGTAAGAATGACAGTCAGTCCATCGGAACAGAGGAAGACTACCTACTCAACAGTAAGAATGACAGTCAGTCCATCAGAACAGAAGAAGACTAACCTACTCAACAGTAAGAATGACAGTCAGTCCCATCAGAACAGAGGAAGACTACCTACTCCACAGTAAGAATGACAGTCAGTACATCAGAACAGAGGAAGACTACCTACTCAACAGTAAGAATGACAGTCAGTCCATCAGAACAGAGGAAGACTACCTACTCCACAGTAAGAATGACAGTCAGTACATCAGAACAGAGGAAGACTACCTACTCAACAGTAAGAATGACAGTCAGTCCATCAGAACAGAGGAAGACTACCTACTCAACAGTAAGAATGACAGTCAGTCCATCAGAACAGAGGAAGACTACCTACTCAACAGTAAGAATGACAGTCAGTCCATCAGAACAGAGGAAGACTACCTACTCAACAGTAAGAATGGACAGTCAGTCCATCAGAACAGAGGAAGACTACCTACTCAACAGTAAGAATGACAGTCAGTCCATCAGAACAGAGGAAGACTACCTACTCAACAGTAAGAATGACAGTCAGTCCATCAGAACAGAGGAAGACTACCTACTCAACAGTAAGAATGACAGTCAGTCCATCAGAACAGAGGAAGACTACCTACTCCACAGTAAGAATGACAGTCAGTCCATCAGAACAGAGGAAGACTACCTACTCAACAGTAAGAATGACAGTCAGTCCATCAGAACAGAGGAAGACTACCTACTCAACAGTAAGAATGACAGTCAGTCCATCAGAACAGAGGAAGACTACCTACTCCACAGTAAGAATGACAGTCAGTCCACTCACTTGTCCTTCAGCCTCTTCTGTTGTCTGTAGAACTCATCCTTGGAGAGGAAGGAGGAGGAGGAGGAGGAGGGGGAGGGGATGGGCTTGCCGGTGAGGGGGGGCTGGGTGTTGGGGGGCGCCCAGGGAGGGTTGGTGACTCCTGGGGTCGGGGGGGTAGCCAGGTGGGGGCAGGGAGTAGCTGGATGGGGGCTGTTGACCCGGGGGGAAGTGGGGAGGGGGGTAGTGGGGGGGCATGACACCCGGGGGATGGGGGAGCGGGGAAGAGAAAAGGGAGGGAGGGGTGTAGAGAGGGGGTGGCACGTTGGAGGGAGGGGGCTGGGAGGGAGGGGCGCGGTCGCTATGGTTCCTGCCACGACCGGAGGGGCTGGAGAGAGACAGGAAGAGAGGGACGTGACGTCATCAGTCAGGTGTGAACCGGGTAATAGCATTTGTCGAAAATGTTGGAACTTCATATAAACAGAGGCAAGGAACACAGCCACGAGAACACACCTGTACCTGTCCCAATGGGGTGGTCCTTCAGAGGGTCTAGTGGGGTTGGACCTGGGTGGAGGACCTGTCGGTTAGGAGGAAAACAGCACTTTTAAATACTACAGTGTCGGTTGTAAGAGGAAGGTGTCTCTGGGGTTTGGCAGCGGTTGGTGTTACCTGTCCTCTGCAGGGTGTGACTGACAGACCGGTGTTGGCCCGGCACTGGGACACGGTAGCCCTGCGGACAACACGCAAACAGAACTTTGTATCAACAACAATACGGAGCCTTTATCTGAATTGACAATGAACGACAGATACATTTGAAGGTGTGTGTGTGTGTGTGTGTGTTCACCTTGGCCATGAGGGGAGTGGATAGAGGGGGGTCGGCTGTGACCACCACAGGCTGAGCACCCCCACCACTCTCTGGCTCTCTGGAAAAAAAAACATGTATCATCATTACCTAAAAACGTCCCAAACTTTACAGACAGCTCGGATTCACTGGCCCAGGACACATGACTGTGTCTACGAGAGAGAGAGAAAGAGAAACAGAGAGAGAGAGAGGAGAGAGAGAATCTTACTTTGGCATGAGCGTGTTGTTGTGATTGGTTGGGTGCTGAGGGGAGGGGCCCGCTGAGTTATAGGAGGAGCCAGCAGCCACGCGGGAGGAGTTATTCTGGTTCCCGACCCTAGGGGTAAAAATAACATCATAAATGTGTGAGGAATACGTCACCCAGGCAACTTGGTTGGTTGTTGTGCATTTGGTCTTTTTTTGCCAGGACACTAGTGAGAACTCCATGTATCTTTACCTGAGGGGCGTGGCAACCTGCTGCTGCTGCTGCTGAGCCAATGGTGGCGTGTCTAAGGCTGGAGGGCGGGGCATGAGAGGGTCTTGCTGGCTCCTGATAGGCTGGAGAGGGCACTGGGGGCGGGACTGAGGCTGAAGAGGAGGGGCGGGGTTGGGAACAAAGGGAGGCTGGGCTACTCCCGTCATGCGTTTGGTGTAACCCGTCTCATTCTTGAAGTTATTTACCGCCTGGGTGGAGAGGAGAGGAATTCAACATATATATACAGTATGTTACATGAACGGTAATGTAGTAATGAATTCAACATATTTATACAGTAGGTTACACGAACAGTAATGTAGTAATGAATTCAACATATTTATACAGTATGTCACATGAATGGTAATGTAGTAATGAATTCAACATATTTATACAGTATGTTACATGAACGGTAATGTAGTAATGAATTCAACATATTTATACAGTATGTTACATGAACGGTAATGTAGTAATGAATTCAACATATTTATACAGTATGTTACATGGACAGTAATGTATTCAACATATTTATACAGTATGTTACACGAACAGTAATGTAGTAATGAATTCAACATATTTATACAGTATGTTACACGAACAGTAATGTAGTAATGAATTCAACATATTTATACAGTAATGTAGTAATGAATTCAACATATTTATACAGTAGGTTACATGAACAGTAATGTAGTAATGAATTCAACATATTTATACAGTATGTTACATGAACGGTAATGTAGTAATGAATTCAACATATTTATACAGTATGTCACATGAACGGTAATGTAGTAATGAATTCAACATATTTATACAGTATGTTACATGAACAGTAATGTAGTAATGAATTCAACATATTTATGCAGTATGTTACATGAACAGTAATGTAGTAATGAATTCAACATACTTATACAGTAGGTTACATGAACAGTAATGTAGTAATGAATTCAACATATTTATACAGTATGTTACACGAACAGTAATGTAGTAATGAATTCAACATATTTATACAGTAATGTAGTAATGAATTCAACATATTTATACAGTAGGTTACACGAACAGTAATGTAGTAATGAATTCAACATATTTATACAGTATGTCACATGAATGGTAATGTAGTAATGAATTCAACATATTTATACAGTATGTTACATGAACGGTAATGTAGTAATGAATTCAACATATTTATACAGTATGTTACATGAACGGTAATGTAGTAATGAATTCAACATATTTATACAGTATGTTACATGGACAGTAATGTAGTAATGAATTCAACATATTTATACAGTATGTTACACGAACAGTAATGTAGTAATGAATTCAACATATTTATACAGTATGTTACACGAACAGTAATGTAGTAATGAATTCAACATATTTATACAGTAATGTAGTAATGAATTCAACATATTTATACAGTAGGTTACATGAACAGTAATGTAGTAATGAATTCAACATATTTATACAGTATGTTACATGAACGGTAATGTAGTAATGAATTCAACATATTTATACAGTATGTTACATGAACGGTAATGTAGTAATGAATTCAACATATTTATGCAGTATGTTACATGAACAGTAATGTAGTAATGAATTCAACATACTTATACAGTAGGTTACATGAACAGTAATGTAGTAATGAATTCAACATATTTATACAGTATGTTACATGAACAGTAATGTAGTAATGAATTCAACATATTTATACAGTAGGTTACATGAACAGTAATGTAGTAATGAATTCAACATATTTATACAGTATGTTACATAAACAGTAATGTAGTAATGAATTCAACATATTTATACAGTATGTTACATGAACGGTAATGTAGTAATGAATTCAACATATTTATACAGTATGTTACATGAACAGTCTGTAGTAATGAATATACAGTGCATTCGGAAAGTATTCAGACCCCTTGACTTTTTCCACATTTTGTTACGTTACAGCCTTATTCTAAAATTGATTAAATGATCATCATCAATCTACACACAATACCCCATAATGACAAAGTGAAAACAGGTTTTTTAGAACTGTTTGCAAATGTATTAAAAATACGTAAGTATTCAGCCCCTTTGCTATGAGACTTGAAATTGAGCTCAGGTGCATTCTGTTCCCCATTGATCATCCTTGAGATGTTTCTACAACTTGATTGGAGTCCACCTGTGGTAAATTCAATTGATTGGACATGATTTGGAAAGGCACGCACCTGTCTATATAAGGTCCCACAGTTGACAGTGCACGTCAGAGCAAAAACCAAGCCATGAGGTCGAAGGAATTGTCCGTAGAGCTCCGAGACCGGATTGTGTCGAGGCACAGATCTGGGGAAGGGCACCAAAAAATGTCTGCAGCATTGAAGGTCACCAAGAACACAGTGGCCTCCATCATTCTTAAATGGAAGAAGTTTGGAACCACCAAGACTCTTCCTAGAGCTGGCCGCCCGGCCAAACTGACCAATCGGGGGAGAAAGGCCTTGGTCAGGGAGGTGACCAAGAACCCGATGGTCACTCTGACAGAGCTCCAGAGTTCCTCTGTGGAGATGGGAGAACCTTCCAGAAGGACAACATTTCCAAAAGCCAGTTTTTGCTTCGTCATTATGGGGTATTGTTTGTAGACTGATGTGGAATAAGGCTGCAATGTAACAAAATGTGGAAAAAGTCAAGGGGTCTGAATACTTTCCGAAGGCCACTGTATACTGTAGAACAGATTTCATACACGTTAACCTCACTAAATAAAGCCCAGGGTTGAGTAGGCGGAGCCTGAGAGAGATTTACCTGGCGCAGGAACTTATTGGCTATGAGGGCGTCAGGGGAGACATCCGATTGGCTACAGGTGGGACACACATGTTCCTCTGACTCCAGCAGAGACGTACGGATACCTGAGGAGAGGAGACAGCATCAGTCATCAGGGGAGGCTGAGGAGAGGAGACAGCATCAGTCATCAGGGGAGACCTGAGGAGAGGAGACAGCATCAGTCATCAGGGGAGACCTGAGGAGAGGAGACAGCATCAGTCATCAGGGAGACCTGAGGAGAGGAGACAGCATCAGTCATCAGGGAGACCTGAGGAGAGGAGACAGCATCAGTCATCAGGGAGACCTGAGGAGAGGAGACAGCATCAGGGAGACCTGAGGAGAGGAGACAGCATCAGTCATCAGGGGAGACCTGAGGAGAGGAGACAGCATCAGTCATCAGGGAGACCTGAGGAGAGGAGACAGCATCAGTCATCAGGGGAGACCTGAGGAGAGGAGACAGCATCAGTCATCAGGGGAGACCTGAGGAGAGGAGACAGCATCAGTCATCAGGGGAGACCTGAGGAGAGGAGACAGCATCAGGGAGACCTGAGGAGAGGAGACAGCATCAGTCATCAGGGAGACCTGAGGAGAGGAGACAGCATCAGTCATCAGGGAGACCTGAGGAGAGGAGACAGCATCAGTCATCAGGGAGACCTGAGGAGAGGAGACAGCATCAGTCATCAGGGAGACGCCATCAGTCATCAGGGAGACCTGAGGAGAGGAGACAGCATCAGTCATCAGGGAGACCTGAGGAGACGGCATCAGTCATCAGGGAGACCTGAGGAGAGGAGACGGCATCAGTCATCAGGGAGACCTGAGGAGAGGAGACAGCATCAGTCATCAGGGAGACCTGAGGAGAGGAGACAGCATCAGTCAACAGGGAGACCTGAGGAGAGGAGACAGCATCAGTCATCAGGGAGACCTGAGGAGAGGAGACAGCATCAGTCATCAGGGAGACCTGAGGAGAGGAGACGGCATCAGTCAACAGGGAGACCTGAGGAGAGGAGACGCCATCAGTCATCGGGGAGACCTGAGGAGAGGAGACGGCATCAGGGAGACCTGAGGAGAGGAGACGCCATCAGTCATCGGGGAGACCTGAGGAGAGGAGACGGCATCAGTCATCAGGGAGACGGCATCAGTCATCAGGGAGACCTGAGGAGAGGAGACGGCATCAGTCATCAGGGAGACGGCATCAGTCATCAGGGAGACCTGAGGAGAGGAGACGGCATCAGTCATCAGGGAGACGGCATCAGTCATCAGGGAGACCTGAGGAGAGGAGACGCCATCAGTCATCAGGTCTTTCCGGGTGTGTGTGAGCGTTAAACTCACAGTCGTCGCAGTAGGAGTTTCCGCAGCAGGGTATGACCACAGCATCAGTCATCAGGTCTTTACAGAGCAGACAGAGGAGCTCATCAGGAATAGGATCCTCGTCCTCCTCTGAACTGGACTTGTCTCTGGGGACGAACGGAGGCTTCTCCTTCTTACCTACAGCGTAGGCCTCACTGTGGAGGAGAGGAGCAGGACACAGGTTCACAGGTTTAGAGGTTAAAGGTCAGGAGTTACAGCCAAGTAAACTGAAACCCTTTCTAAAGCTTGTGTCTGAGGTCTTGCGTAAAGCTGCTGTTAAGCCGTTAAATCAGAATATTTTAAACAACCTTTGATTGGTGATACTTTATTCATTCTCAATTAGGAAGGCACCGGTGTCAGGGGTTATAGGTCAGGGGTCGGAGGTCAACTCACGCATCTATAGTAGGGATGGCGTAGCGGCCAGTGTTGGTCAGCATGGCTCCCTTTATAGACGGGTCGTCCACCTCCGTCATGAAGGAGCGAGGGATGCCGGTGCTCTTCTTAATCCTCTGGGGCGGCTCAAACCCTTTGTCCTTCTAACACACACACACACACACATTTACTGGGTTGCTCTGGTCAGCGATCACACACACATTTACTGGGTTGCTCTGGTCAGCGATAACACACACATTTACTGGGTTGCTCTGGTCAGCTATAAAACACACACATTTACTGGGTTTCTCTGGTCAGCGATAACACACACATTTACTGGGTTGCTCTGGTCAGCTATAAAACACACACATTTACTGGGTTTCTCTGGTCAGCGATAACACACACATTTACTGGGTTTCTCTGGTCAGCGATAAAACACACATTTACTGGGTTGCTCTGGTCAGCGATAACACACACATTTACTGGGTTGCTCTGGTCAGCGATAACACACATTTACTGGGTTGCTCTGGTCAGCGATAACACACATTTACTGGGTTGCTCTGGTCAGCGATAAAACACACATTTACTGGGTTTCTCTGGTCAGCGATAAAACACACATTTACTGGGTTTCTCTGGTCAGCGATAAAACACACATTTACTGGGTTGCTCTGGTCAGCGATCACACACACATTTACTGGGTTGCTCTGGTCAGCGATAAAACACACACATTTACTGGGTTTCTCTGGTCAGCTATAAAACACACCATTTACTGGGTTGCTCTGGTCAGCGATTACACACACATTTACTGGGTTGCTCTGGTCAGCGATTACACACACATTTACTGGGTTGCTCTGGTCAGCGATAACACACACATTTACTGGGTTGCTCCAAGGATGTGTCCTCTTACCCCGTTAGTAGGACAGTTCCTGATGTGGTGTCCATTCTTGCCACAGCGATAACAGGTGTAGTTGGGTGGCGGGAGACCCGTCAACTTCTTCATATAACTATTAACATTAACACAACATTAACACAACACATTACTGTTAGTTCCAGACAGCTGTTAACATTGTTTTTGTTTTGTTGGTATTTTACCCCCCTTTTTCTCCCCAATTTCGTGGTATCCAATTGGTAGTTACAGTCTTGTCCCATCGCTGCAACTCCGTTACGGACACGGGAGAGGCGAAGGTCGAGAGCCGCGCCGGTCCTCCGTAAACACAACCGAGCCGCACTGCTCCTTGACACAGAGCCCGCGCTTAACCCGGAAGCCAGCCGCACCAATGTGTCGGAGGGAAACGCCGTACGCCTGGCGACCGAGTCAGCGTGCACTGCGCCCGGCCCGCCACAAGGAGTCGCTAGTGCGCGATGGGACAAAGAACATCCCTGCCGGCCAAACCCTCCCCGCGGCCGGCTACGACAGAGCCTGGATTCGAACCAGGATCTCTAGTGGCACAGCTAGCACTGCAATGCAGCTGTTAACATTAACACAGGATAGAGCTGCTGCTACATCCTCTACTGGTTCAGTTACAGGATAGAGCTGCTACATCCTCATACTGGTTGAGTTACAGGATAGAGCTGCTACATCCTCTACTGGTTGAGTTTACATGGATAGAGCTGCTACCATCCTCTACTGGTTGGTTACAGGATAGAGTCTGACTACATCCTCTACTGGTTCAGTTACCAGGATAGAGGCTCGACTACATCCTCTACTGGTTCAGTTTACAGGATAGAGCTGCTACATCCCTCTACTGGTTCAGTTACAGGATAGAGCTGCTCCATCCTCTACTGGTTCAGTTACAGGATAAAGAGCTGCTAATCCTCTACTGGTTCAGTTACAGGATAGAGCTGCTACATCCTCTACTGGTTCAGTTACAGGATAGAGCTGCTGCATCCTCTACTGGTTCAGTTACAGGATAGAGCTGCTACATCCTCTACTGGTTCAGTTACAGGATAGAGCTGCTACATCCTCTACTGGTTCAGTTACAGGATAGAGCTGCTACATCCTCTACTGGTTCAGTTACAGGATAGAGCTGCTACATCCTCTACTGGTTCAGTTACAGGATAGAGCGGCTGACAGTCCTCTACGGTTCAGTTACAGGATAGAGCTGCTACATCCTCTACTGGTTCAGTTACAGGATAGAAGCTGCTACAATCCCTTCTACTGTTCAGTTACAAGGATAGAGCTGCTACATCCTCTAACTGGTTAGTTACAGATAGACTGCTACAGAGGAAAAACTACGTTGAGTAAGGATAGAGCTGCTAATCCTCTACTGGTTCAGTTACAGGATAAAGCTGCTACAAGCTACATCCTCTACCTGGTTCAGTTTACAGGATAGAGCCTGCTACATCCTCTACTGGTTTCAGTTACAGGATAGAGCCTGCTACATCCTCTACTGTTTTCCAGTTTACAAGGATAGAGCTGCTGCTAATCCTCTGCACTGGGTTCAGTGTACAAGGATAGACTGCTGCTACATCCTCTACTGGTTCAGTTACAGGATAGAGCTGCTTGCTACAATCCTCTACTGGTTCAGTTACAGGATAGAGCGGCTACATCCTCTACTGGTTTCAAGTTACAAGGATAGAGCTGGCTACACATCCTCTACTGGTTCAGTACAGGATAGAGCTGCTACAAATCCTCTACTGGTTCAGTTACAGGATAGAGCTGCTACATCCTCTACTGGTTCAGTTACAGGATAGAGCTGCTACCTCCTCTACGGTTCAGTTACAGTATAGAGCTGCTACATCCTCTACTGGTTGAGTTACAGGATAGAGCTTCTACACCCCACCTGGGTCAAGTTACAGGATAGAGCTGTCTAACATTACATCCTATACTGGTTCAGTTACAGGATAGAGCTGCTGAACCATCCTCTACTGGTGTTCAGTTACAGGGAATAGAGCTGCTACAAATTCACTCTACTTGGTTCAGTTAACCAGGCATTATAGACTTGCTGCTACATCCCTCTACTGGGTTCAGTTACAGGAATAGAGCTGCTACAAAGCCCTACTGGTTCAGTTACAAGGATAGAAGCTGCGACATCCTCTACCTGGTTCGTTACAGGATAGAGGCTGCTACATCCTCTATCTGGTTCAGTTACAGGATGAGCTGCTACATCCGCTACTGGTTGAGTTTACAGGATAGAGCGGATAAGCTGCTGCTCATCCTCTACTGGTTCAGTTACAGGATAGAGCTGCTGCTACATCCTCTACTGGTTCAGTTACAGGATAGAGCTGCTGCTACATCCTCTACTGGTTCAGTTACAGGATAGAGCTTGCTACATCCTCTACTGGTTCAGTTACAGGATAGAGCTGCTGCTACATCCTCTACTGGTTCAGTTACAGGATAGAGCTGCTGCTACATCCTCTACTGGTTCAGTTACAGGATAGAGCTGCTACATCCTCTACTGGTTCAGTTACAGGATAGAGCTGCTACATCCTCTACTGGTTCAGTTACAGGATAGAGCTGCTACATCCTCTACTGGTTCAGTTACAGGATAGAGCTGCTGCTACATCCTCTACTGGTTCAGTTACAGGATAGAGCTGCTACATCCTCTACTGGTTCAGTTACAGGATAGAGCTGCTACATCCTGGTTCAGTTACAGGATAGAGCGCTGCCTAAAATCCTCTACTGGTTCAGTTACAGGATAGAGCTGCTGCAATCCTCTACTGGTTCAGTTACAGGATAGAGCGGCTGACTACATACCTCTACCTGGTCAGTTTACAGGATAGAGCTGGCCTAACATTCCTCTACTTGGGTTCAGTTACAGGATAGAAGCTTGGCTACAGTCCTCTACTGGTTCAGTTACAAGGATAGAGCCTGCCTAAAAACATCCATCTACTGGTTCAGTTACAGGTATAGAGCTGCTACAATCCTCTACTGGTTCAGGTTACAGGATAGAGGCTGCTACATCCCTCATCTGGTTTCAGTGTACAGGATAGAGCTGCTGCTAACTCCTCCATTAACTTGGTTCAGTTACAGGATCAGGCTGGCTACAATCCTTCTACTGTTTCCAGTTACAGGATAGAGCTTGCGGTAATCCTCATACTGGTTCAGTTGACAGGATCAGAGTGCTAAATCCTCTACTGGTCAGTTAAAGGAAGAGCTTGCTAATCCTCTACTGGTTCAGTTACAGTTATAGAGCTGCTAACATCCTCTACTGGTTCAGTTACAGGTATAGAGCTGGCTAACTCCTCTAACTGGTTTCAGTTTACAGGATCCGAGCTCTCTACTCATCATCTACTTGGTTCAGTTACAGGATAGATATCTGCTGCTACATCCTCTATCTGGTTCAGTACAATGGAGAGAGCTGCTACATCCTCTAAATCCTCTACGGTTCATTACAGGATAGAGCTGCTGCTACATCCCTACTGGTTCAGTTACAGGATGAGCTGCTACATCCTCTACTGGTTCAGTTACAGGATAGAGCTGGGTACATCCTCTACTGGTTCAGTTACAGGATAGAGCTGCTACATCCTCTACTGGTTCAGTTACAGGATAGAGCTGCTACATCCTCTACTGGTTCAGTTACAGGATAGAGCTGCTACATCCTCTACTGGTTCAGTTACAGGATAGAGCTGCTACATCCTCTACTGGTTCAGTTACAGGATAGAGCTGCTACATCCTCTACTGGTTCAGTTACAGGATAGAGCTGCTACATCCTCTACTGGTTCAGTTACAGGATAGAGCTGCTAATCCTCTATGGTTCTTACAGATAGAGCTGCTACATCCTCTACTGGTTCAGTTACAGGATGAGCTGCTACATCCTCTACTGGTTCAGTTACAGGATAGAGCTGCTACATCCTCTACTGGTTCAGTTACAGGATAGAGCTGCTACACATCCTCTACTGGTTCAGTTTTCAGGATAGAGCTGCTGCTACATCCTCTACTGGTTCAGTTACAGGATAGAGCTGCTGCTACATCCTCTACTGGTTCAGTTACAGGATAGAGCTGCTGCTACATCCTCTACTGGTTCAGTTACAGGATAGAGCTGCTGCTACATCCTCTACTGGTTCAGTTACAGGATAGAGCTGCTGCTACATCCTCTACTGGTTCAGTTACAGGATAGAGCTGCTACATCCTCTACTGGTTCAGTTACAGGATAGAGCTGCTACATCCTCTACTGGTTCAGTTACAGGATAGAGCTGCTACATCCTCTACTGGTTCAGTTACAGGATAGAGCTGCTACATCCTCTAATGGTTCAGTTACAGGATAGAGCTGCTTACATCCTCTACTGGTTCAGTTACAGGATAGAGCTGCTACATCCTCTACTGGTTCAGTTACAGGATAGAGATGCTGCTACATCCTCTACTGGTTCAGTTACAGGATAAGATCTGCTACACTCCTCTACTGGTTCAGTTTACAGGATAGAGATGCTGCTACATCCTCTACTGGTTCAGTTACAGGATAGAGCTGCTACATCCTCTACTGGTTCAGTTACAGGATAGAGCTGCTACATCCTCTACTGGTTCAGTTACAGGATAGAGCTGCTGCTACATCCTCTACTGTTCAGTTACAGGATAGACTGCTGCTACATCCTCTACTGGTTCATTACAGGATAGAGCGCTGCTACATCCTCTACTGGTTCCAGTTTACAGGATAGAGCTGCTGTACATCCTCTACTGGTTTCAGTTACAGGATAGAGCTGTGCTACATCCTCTACTGGTTCAGTTTACAGGATAGAGCTGCTACAATCCTCTACTGGTTCAGTTACAGATAGAGCTGCTGCTACTCCTCTACTGGTTCAGTTACAGGATAGAGCTGCTGCTACATCCTCTACTGGTTTCAGTTACAGGATAGAGATGCTGCTACATCCTCTACTGGTTCAGTTTACAGGATAAGAGCTGCTACTCCTCTACTGGTTCAGTTACAGATAGAGCTGCTGCTACATCCTCTACTGGTTCGTTACAGGTTGAGAGTGCTGCTACATCCTCTACTGGTTCAGTTACAGGATAGAGCTGCTGTTAATCTCTACTGTTCAGGTACGATGAGTGCTGTACTCTTACTG